TACTCGGTTATTGGTTTTGTTTTATGTTTTGTTTTAAGTATCGCTTTGATACTTGGTTTGTTTTAAGTATCGTTTGATCCTTGGTTTTGTTTTTATGTTTTGTTTTAAGTATCGCTTTGATACTTGGTTTGTTTTAAGTATCGTTTGATACTTGGTTTTGTTTTATGTTTTGTTTTAAGTATCGTTTTGATACTTAAGGAGTTTTACCAAAGAGTATCAATTGATACCTTTGATTAGTTTCGTTCATGCTAGACATGAACAGATTTGTGTATTTAAAGACCGCCTGTTTCTATGATAGAAAAGGCAGACTTCGACAGACAGTATTTCAATCTACTTGGTTTAACGGTTACTTCATTGTTCCTCAGTACACCCTCGAAGCCTCCTCTAGTTCTCAGCTCTCGCCTCCTCTCTGGAAGAGCAGGCCACCTGCCAACTATCGTATCTTTGCCGATCACGTGATTAGCACCTTACGAACACGTTACACATATAGTGTCGTAGAATCGTCGCTTCAGGATGTATTTGTAGATACTTCCTCTCTCCATTCGGTCCTTATACATCATCAGGTCCGTAGCCACATCGGTGATTCGCTTGACATGCGTTCCGTTAACATGCTGGAACTGGTTGAATTTGTTGTATAGGAGGTTATTGGTTACAGAGAATTGGAATCGTCCTTTCAAGTAATCGAGAACTGTAGTTCCTCTTAATCTTACATTTCCACCGTATTCCTTATAGCATTGATGGTATGCGTCAGTTGCCTTTCCTTCGCCGAATAATCCAATAATAAGTCTGGTTGTAGGGTCTTCCACATCCTTTCCTTGTAAGAGTAGGAAGTGTGAGAGTTCCGTCGCCCATCGGTCAAAAGCTTCAGGTTTGAGGTCTTTTCCTTCTCCTGTGAACATGGTGGGAGGTGGTGTTTAAATTTAGGGGGTTCAAATGCTGCGGGTACCTCCTCTTCTTCATGCCTAGCCCGAGAATTTCCTCCTCCAGAAGGCCCTCCTCCTGTGCTAGCCATATCTGATTCGCTACTGGATTCGTGGTCGATTGGAGGTTCAAAGGAAGGCTTCTTTGCGGGAGTAGAAGGGAATTCACCTGGAGGTTGTGTATCTTCTGTGTTTACAGGATTGCCCGGCTCTTTAGCAGAGCACTGGGGTTGTTTCTTTCTTGTAAGGTCTTGCCGTGGGATTTGCTTCCCACTCCTTATCGTTAAAGACTCTATCTTGGGTTTGAGATGAAGCCGAATGTGCTGTGATTGTGCCTCTTCTCTCCGCTAGCGTTCTGAGGTGGATATCGATAGGTTGATCAGGCCTAAATCCGGGCACAGGTTCTTAACCACTTGCTGAGGTTAAAAAAATGTAACGTGTTCGCAAGGTGCTAATCACATTATCGGTAAAGGATACGATAGTTGGCAGGTGGCCTGCTCTTCCGGAGAGGAGGCGAGAGCTGAGAACTAAAGGAGGCTTCGAGGGTGTACTGAGAAACAAAGAAGTAACCGTTCAACTACGTATATTGAAATACTGTCTGTCGAAGTCTGCCTTTTCTATCATTGAAACAGGCGGTTTTTAAATACACAAATCTGTTCATGTCTAGCATGAACGAAACTAATCAAAGGTATCAATCAATACACTTTGGCGAAACTAATTAAGTATCAAAGCGATACTTAAAACAAAACATAAAACAAAACCAAGTATCAAGGCAATACTTAAAACAAAACATAAAACAAAACCAAGTATCAAACGATACTTAAAACAAACCAAGTATCAAGGCAATACTTAAAACAAAACATAAAACAAAACCAAGTATCAAACGATACTTAAAACAAACCAAGTATCAAGGCAATACTTAAAACAAAACATAAAACAAAACCAAGTATCAAACGATACTTAAAACAAACCAAGTATCAAGGCGATACTTAAAACAAAACATGAAACAAAACCAATAACCGAGTACCCATACCGGTTACAGCTAATAGCACCCCAATTTCCAATACCAGGT